GCTGACACCCCAAAGGCATAATTGACTTGTAAAGAAAATATTTACCCTGTCAGGATAGAGAAAGATAAATTGGTATGGCTAAGAAAAGTTGGTATTTCTGTGGGCACAGATTCATGAAAAGGTTGAGGAAGAAGCTTCTGGAGATCTTCTACCCAAACCCCTGCTCAGTGCAGGGTCAGCTAGAGCAGTTGTCCAGGATTATGTCCATCTGGATTTTGAATATCTCTAAGCATGAATATTCGACAACCTCTCTGAGCAATTTGTTTCTGTGTTTAAACATCCCCCAGTAAAAAATGCAAGTTCCTGCATTTCCATCTATGTCTGTTGTCTCTTCTGTCACTGAGTATCACTGAAATGGTTCTTTTGTGTTCTACTATTCCACCCCATCCCAAATATTGATATGGAAAGACAGCAAAACAGAAATGCCTTTGTCTGGTGCCATGAACAACTGCTGGCCATGGGATACCACCAGAGCAGTGTCCACTGCATTGACAGGGCCAAAGCCTAACCCCTGCTTGCCAAACAAGGGAAGTTTTGTACTGCTCATTCACCATTTTAAAATCAAAATGGCTTAAATTGTTGTGCAAGAGGGTGCTTTGAATGCAAAGATAGTTGCAATTTACAAAGATTAGTCAGGGCAAAGGTACTTTGGTGTCTTACTACAATCTATTTTTCAATAGGTTAAGGTGCAATTAGATACACACACACCTTTTCAAGAACCATGAACAGGTTGTCTCAAAAATGTGAAATGTGGTTGTGAAGTCCTCTGAATAAAATGTTAATGCAGCTATAACAGGGAGCAGTACTTTTAAAATAAGTCACTTGTGTTTTGATTAATCTCATCATCAGACATCTATGGTCACTCTGTGCTATAAATGGCAGAGAAATAAGCATTCTTGGGGTGCTATTAGTCCTAGGCTTAGTGCTAGAGCCAGTATACAAACTCCCTTAAATAGTATGTAAACTTGCACATACCTAGAGTGTGACTGCTTTCCTTGAACTAAACATGTGTGCTAGATACACAAAAACCAGATGAAACCAACAGAAAGGTTGCTTCTTCCAAACAGTATTTTTCTTATATTAATTTCTAGAGCCAAAAAATACAGGGAATCTCAATGCCCAGAGCTGAAGGACCATGACTGTGAGAATGATCAACTCCCAGCTGACCCTGAACTTGTGCAGGATCTGCTGCTCCAGCTGGATCCCTGCTAATCCATGGAGGCTGATGGGATTCATCTGAAAATCCTCAAGGAGTTATCTGATATCACTGCAATGCCTCTCTAGATCATTTTTGAGTGGTCTTGGTGATCTGGAGAAGTCCTAGCTGACTGAAAGCTGGCAAATGTCCCAGTTTTCAAGGAGGGCAAGAAGGAGGAAATTTCAGGCCTGTTAGTCTCCCTTCAGTGCCCAGTAGAATCACAGAAAAAATATTCTGGGCAGTACTGAAAACTACCCGGAGGATAATGCAGTCATTGGTCACATTCAACATGGTGATAAGGAGAAAATCTTGTGTATCAAACGAGATTTCCTTCTACCACAGAGTAACCCACTTATCTGATCTAGGGAAGTCAGTTAATGAGATCTTTTTGGAATTCAGCAAAGCTTTTAATGTTGTCTATCACAGTGTCCTTCTTGACAAAGTATCCAATATTCAGCTGGATAAACACACCATGTGATGGGTGAGCAACTGGCTCAGGGGCCAGGCACAAAGAGTTACAGTGAATGGGGTGACATCAGGCTGGCAATCTGTCACTAGTGGGGTTCTGCAGGGCTCCATCCTCAGCCCTGTGCTCTTCAACATCTTCTTTAATGAGGCGGATGCAGGACTGGAAGGAATACTTAAAACAATCAATGGGAGGAGCTGCTGACTGCCTTGAAGGCAAGGTGGCCCTGCAGAGGGACGTTGACAAATTAGAGAGATGGGCAATCAGCAACCATATGGAGTTCAACAAGGATTCTGCACCTGGGATGGGGCAATCCTGGTTGTGTGAACAGTGTGGGGAACAAGAGCTTGGAGACAAATGCTGTGGAAAGGGACCTGGGGGTCCTGCTTGATGGCAAGCTGAATGTGAGTCAGCAGTGCCCTGGCAGCCAGGAGGGCCAAGCTGTCCTGGGTGCATCAGGCACAGCACCACAGCCAGGTGAGGGAGGGGATTGTCCTGCTCTGCTCTGAGCTGGGGCAGCCTCACCTCCAGTGGTGGGGGCAGTTTTGGGTACCACAATATAAAGCTATTAAGCTATTAATGAATGTTCAAAGGAGGAATGAGGATGGTGAAGGGACAGGACAGGAAGCCACATGAGGACCAGCTGAGGTCACTTGGTTTTTCAGCCTGGAGGAGATGGGGAGACCTCATTGTGGTCTGTAGCATCCTTATGGGGGGAAGTGGAAGGGAAGGTAGTGATATCTTCACTCTCCTAACCAGCCACAGCACCTCAGGAAAGGGAATGAAGCTGAGTCAAGCGAGGTTTATTTTGGATAGCAAGAAAAGACTTATCACCCAGAGGGTGGTTGGGCACTGGAACAGGCTCCCCAGGGAAGTGGTCACAGCATCAGCCTGACAGAGTTCAAGAAGCATTTGGACAATGCCTCAGGCACACAGTGTGACTCTTGGGGATGGTCCTCTCTAGGGCCAGAAGTTGAACTTGATCCTGATGGGTCTCTTCCAACTCAGCACAATCTGTGATTCTACATTTACTGGTAAGCTGAAAATGCTTTCTGCAGCAGTGGCCTACTGCAAATCATCTTTTCTCTATCATTAAATAAAGCTATAGAATGCATTCGGGATGTTTTAGGACAGTGAAATATATATCTCATGGTAAGTTATTACATTAGATTGTGAGCTGCATTGATTCATATTGTCAAAACCCGACAATCTACATTTTTAATACCTACCATAACTGAAGAATGTGAACAAAATTATTTTGGAATCCTTTTCGGAATTGACTGATTTTTGATTTTCTACATAAAAAAGTAAGTTAAAAATAAAACTGGAAACACTTTTCAGCAAAGAAACCCCTGATGTATTTGGAAAATGGAAATCCAAACACAAATCCTTTTTTGTGTTTTAGAAAATAGCAGCAATTGTTCAAACCATGACTGTGCCCTACAGATAGATATCAGAATTTTAGGATAGCAATCTAAGCAGATTTTAGCAGAAACAAAAAAGAAATTGTTGCTGCAGAACTTAGTAGATACAAAAATCTCAGTTGGATCCCTCTCCACATTATTCAGAAGGGCTGGGCATAGCATTTAGGATTTAGGATTATGTTGCTCCCAAGGTGGTGTGCACCCAAGTACCTTTATGGTGGAGAAACCATTTTGCTGTTACAGAATGCAAGAATTTTTGTGTGTAATAAGATGAAAGCAGAGATGATCAGCAGTGATCACAAAAGGAAAAATTTTCAGATTTTTCACAGTTGACTTAGAGCAGAAATTTTCAGCTTGCAGCTGGGAAATGCTGCAAAGGACACTGAAGGCACTGTCATTGAAGGCAGTGGGTCAGACAGAAACAATACACTGGTGATGAGAATTAATCAGGTACTATTTAATAATAATTTAATCTGGTAGTCAAAAAGAAAATAAAAACCTGGTGATGTTGCGATTTCAAGCCATTCCATAACAGTTTGAAAGCCACATGATTATTTTTTGCTGCCTCATACTAGAAATATGTAAATTGCCATTTAGCATAATCTCCCAAATCAGTTGCTTGTCTATATTAAAATGCAATCATAAATCACTATTCATGTCACATATCTGTAAAAAATATGCAGTGAAAACATTTGGGCAAACATAATTTCTTTGAAAATTATGGCATAAAGTCTTCCCATTGAGCATCCAGTTTTTGTTATCTTTCTTTGGAGATTTTTTTTTTATGAAAATTTTTTATTATGCTTTAATGAAAGCTCCAGGCATAAGAATAGGAATAATTATCATACAAGTAATTCACAGTCACGATATTCAGTCCTGCAGTACCAAAGGATGTAATTTATTAAGGATTCTTATCAAAAGAGAGGTGACATCTAATCTCACAAAATAGCTAAAGCATAAATGAACAATTGGGAACTACAAATGCATCATGTATGGAATGACAGCTACTCCTAATTCTAAAACCTATCCATGAGAAAACTGGCTCTCTATAACAATACTATGCACTATGTGAATGCCTGGTCTGGATGACTCTATCATTGCTTATGAAAAAGTTCCCTTTCTAAAAGTACCAGATTCACTCAGAGATCTTGCTCTGAAGCTCATTGTCTCCTCCAAATTGGGAGGCAACTCCTAGCCCAAAACAGAGAAAATGGAGGATAACAAATCTCTGTAACAATAAATTCATCAGATCCTCCTTCCAAAGCTCAGCAAGCAAACATTGCAGCACACAGACCTCAGAAAATTAAATAGTCTTGAATTTTCCCACAATTTTGATCCCATTCAGTTTTGTTACCGCAAGAAATCATGATGCTCCTCTTTATCTAATGCTTACTCATTTTTCCTGTGTTGGAATTTTTTAATCCATTAATAACAAAGTATAAACTATGCTTCCCATCTTGAAGACAGAAATGAATTTTAAATAAAGGTATAATTCAAGGGTGTAGACAGGGAGATAAACTGCAGGACTGGGCACACCAGAAGCTCCCTCATCATTACATTAACCCTGCAGGACTGGGCACACCAGAAGCTCCCTCATCATCATATTAACCCTGTCTTCTTTATTGATCTTGGGTAGCTCAGAGAAGCTCTGCCCTGGAAGCTCTTTAGGCTGCTGAGCACGTTCAGCACTAGGGATAGTAGGTAAGCACTAAATATTTTGAAAGAATTTGAGATCTTCAACGACTCCCTTCCCTGCTTGTATTTAAAGGAGTGTTTCCCGAATTCCTCATGCAAAAAGCCATAAAGATGAGAATGGACTAAAGCAAAGATCATAAAAAGGAGCACGGGCACCCCAGGGAGGTGAGTGCATCTGCAGCAGTCACTGCTATCATGTGTGTTTTTCTGCACACAGGTCCCAGTCCGTGGTGGAAGCAGGCACGCTGAAACACGAAGACCAGGGGGAGAGTGAGAACACCCAGCCACTGCTGGCTCTGGACTGAGCCCTCAGGAGCCCCAGGGAGATCCATGAGCAGACCCCACCATGGCAGAACCCCACGGAGCACACCACGCTCAGACACACGCACGCACACACGCGTTCCGCTCGATGACAAGTCCTTCGTGTTTCCTGACCAGTAACAACTGTCACCAGCCATCTGTCCCCAGGGCTGGTGCTGAACAAGAACTGAGAAACTTCTACTGACACAGCAGTCTGTCCATACACAAAGAATTGGATTTTGTTTTTTTTTTTTTCTCTTTGACTTGTGACATTAAAATATTGGAAATGGTGGGACTGCATTCTCTGTTTGAAGAAACCAGGGTGTGTTCATAGTGTTTCTGAAGACTCCATCAGGGATGTTAATTTTATAGAAGTGAAGGTTGTGAGAGTTTTAAAGAAAAGCATCTCAAATTAAAACCCTATGCTGTAATCAGCAAGTGTACTCTGGGTTAGAGGGCAGAATCATCAGCATCTATAGAGTGCTTGAGTTTTACAGAAGGATTTTGCATTTAATAAAGAACCCCAGTGCCAGCATAAAGCCATTCAAGATGACACATTGTGACTGCCTCATCCATGCAGCTTATATGGGGTCACATTTCAGTATCTAGCAAAAATTGTTCTCAACTTTTGAAGCCCTTCTAAAACTGCCAGCTAAGTGGAATGAGCTGTGTGAGCAGCAGACACACACAATTTGAAACGTAATTACTTGATTTTAATGATGATTCAAATTTCCACAGGCAACTTAGGAGCCTATAAGACACGTGTGTGTGCATGTGTGTGCCCGTGTGAAGGGGGTGGTTCCAGGGAGACACACTGGACAAATTCAGCAGTGATTAATGGTTCAATCCAGATTATTTCCTTTAGGTCACAACAGCAAACAAAAGCTCTGCAGAACCATTTACCCTCTTCCCTCCTGCAGTCAGGGAAAAGTGTAGCCAGAAAGGTATGCTGATTGCGGATGCGGGCCATGGTTAAAATGAAAAAGGAAAACTTAGAATTAATTATTCAGTACAAGTTTCTGCTAGAAGGAAATGTTGAAGAATAGAAGAACTGAAATGCCAAAGATCAGTTTGTTTTATCTCTGTTTGCTCTAGCTGCAAAGAGAGTGCCATCCCTTCATTGAAATGGAAACCGGATTAAAGAAATAAAAGAACAATCATTATAAAATTGCATGTGCAGTGACTTTATTTTTTAAAACAGTTACAATCACTGTACACCCTTTAAATCTTCAATCAAATTGCCATACATTGACAATTCACTAGAACAAGCAGTTGGCAACAATATATCAAAGGTAGCAGTGTAAACCATACACAGAAAATGAGATGATAATGGGTACAAAGGTTTTTAATGTGCACTGGAACATCCACTGAATTCTCAAGTGTTTGGCTGAAGTGATGATACAGTTCAAGTGGACATGGCCAGCTCTAACAGATGGACTAACAAAATACTGCCTTTATCTACAACAACATTTTATGGCTGCACAGGGCAGAAAGGACATCCTGCCAGATCCTATCAACACACCTGGGATTTACCCCCTAGTTTTGTACAGAATAACCTCACTCAGACTAATCTCTGACTGCAGCAACATGTCATTGACACAAAGCCTGGCTTCCATGACAGAGAGCCAGCTTTTAAGGCTGTGGATGGTCCCAGCAAGGCAACACAGGAGTGAGAAAAAGAAGCAGAAGCTTGCAGGAACATTATAAAAATAAGATGGATGAGCCCATTTATCTTTGGGGTTTCTTCCATTCCCCCCCCCACCCGACATCATCACCACCTATTACAGGAAACAAGGATGTCAAGGCCTGGTAGCAGCTCCTTCCCCTTCCCTGGGCCCACAGAGACTAAAAGGCATTTGGATTTGTCAAAGAGAACGTGCTTAAAGCAGAAAGCAAAAACCAAAAGAGACAAAAAAGATAGACATTTGCTATTATACTGCAGCATTGAGGAAGAATTACTTTGGTTTACAATTTTTCTCTGTTAATACACTTACCCACACTGCCATTGAATCTTTGTGATGATCTGTTACAATCACTGTTCATTAAAGTGGGTCTTGTCCTGCCCAAGAAGTGCAAATACCACTGAAATCTAGTCCTTGAGGATCAAACCTCACAAAGGATAAATGATTTACTTTCTTTAACTGTGATATGAATAAATACATATGATGCCTTGTATATAACTGTATAAAGCCTGCATTTAACTGTAGACTCTTACACAGATTCTGTGCAAGCAAGGTAACAACAGGCAGGGAGGAGCATGGTGATGAGTACATACTGTGTTACAAACTACATTGCCCTTGTCTGCCATTTCCTTCTGTAAATAAATCTAACAAAAAAAAAAAAAAAAAAGCAAATTGCAATGAATTTCCATTGAAAAAAACCCACTTCACTCCCTCCCTTGGCATTTCCAATGCTGAAAAGCCTTTCCAAGACAGAATATCACTTGGCAAACAGGAACACCTAAAACAATATGCCAGTAATTCACTGCAGAATTTCTGCTCTATATATCCTCCCCACATACAGAGCTAATCCAGTAACTGTACCTAACAAAATTATCCACTCTCTGCTCCCTTACAAGTGGGCATAGAATAGATTCCCTTCAGTGTTGCAGGAACACCTTGTCTTATTTGAGGCACTTAAGATTTTTAAATGGCTAATGTATCACTACACAATCTAATAAACAGTGCTGCTCTGGCACACACACATCTTGGGGACTTACTTTTATCTATTTGCCAATTTTATGTATTTGCCAATTGCAATTGGACAAGATAAAGTATGAGTCAAAAAAAGGAACAATGAAACAATCTGAAGGACGGCACGGATTTTCATAAAAAAGCTCCAAAGTTTTACCACTCCTTTAGCATTTACTCTGACCTACAGAAGCTACAATGCAACATTAATAAAAATATTCCTAAATCATCAATTTTGTTTAAGGAGTTCTTGATTTTTTTTCTTTACACACACAGTCATTATTTTAGAGAATTATCATATAATTTGTACTGCTTGATCACTTCAAAAAGATATAAAATATAGGCTCTGACTTGACAGCTAATTGGATATTTAAAAATATTTTTACTCTTTTACCCCCACAAAAAGTACCTTATTTCCAGTTTTGCATGATTCTCCAAATGATCTCCAAAAGCATTTTATATTATGTGAAACTTATAAATCTTTATAGTTTTTCATTATTGTTAACTGAGAACTGTTACTTTCTGGTATATTGTGTATAGTTTCATTATTATTTTTGATATGGACAACACGTTAAAACCTAATTATCTTTGCTGTCTAAAAGTGACTCTTGAATAGACAGGGTTTATCAGTTTAATATTCAAAAAAGGAAATTAAAGTGCACACTTCCAGAAACTGTTCACACTAATTTATGGTGCAGTCACCATGTGTTATATGGCATTAGAAGATTTAATGACCTAGTAAAATACAAGAATCAGAAAAGCATTCAGTTTATGGGAATGCAAAGCTCTTATCTGCAGTTTGCTTCAGCAAATGTGACATTCAGGTCACGATACTCCAATGCCATGATGTAGACTCTGCAGTAATAAACCACTGAGTACTACACAAATAAAAACTGTTCCATGCCTTTTGGACAAGAAAGTCAAAGCTGCAGAGCATAAGTAATCTCAGTGCCTTCTTGCTTAGTGTTTGTCACTCACAACCCTCAGAAATGATGCCCAGAGCATCCTAGCACCCCTGTCCACACCCAGCTGGTGCTGTGGCTGAGGGGATAACAGCCAGCCACAAACATCAGCAGTGCAAGCTCTGCTCTCTCTCTCCTGTTAGTGTTCTTAGAAGTTAAAAGTGAAGGGTCATGCACACTCCAGCTCCCATTAAACAGTACAGACCTAAAAGATCTGCCATCTGCTTAAACATCTAACTAGTTTTCTTTCTTGAAAATAGGCCTTCTTATCTATAGTAAATTCTGTATGGCAAACACAGAGTACACTGTAAACAGTACCAGGATCAGACTACTTCAGCATTATGTCATTCATTTCAAGACAAGGAAAACACCTTGAGGTCAATTAGAGGATCACTCTAGCACTCTGTAGGATGCTGGCAGTGGAAGTTAATACGAGGTAATGCCTTGAAGGTCTTTGTCTGCTCTGCGTTCCGACAGGAAGCCAAGCTGGACCTTGTCCCTCTGCCCAAAGCACAAGAAATTCTTCATACATTTTTTTTCTGCTGAATGATCGCCCAAGGGCAGCCAAGGAGGAGCCCCTTGAAGGAGGGGCCCCAGACCCTTGGTGGGTAGAGAAAGGATATCACACCAGAAGCTTTTGTAATGATAGGAGAAACAGCAGCTCACCATATAATCCTAAGAATGGTCAAGTAATTCAAAATGTCAGATTTGCTCAGCATTTTCCAAAATCACATTATCAAACTGCAGGCCACCTGCTAACTAAGAGAACTATTCTGTTTTAGAAGAACAAAGCTTCACTAGGCAGCTATTATGCAAGTTTCTGTTTACATTTCCAGGAAGGCAAAAGAAGGCCACACTTGGCAAAAATTAAATTTGTTCATATATAGTGTTTTCCTTCTGCTGATAGCTAGAGACACATTTGTATATATATCACCTTTTTAAAAAATAGTGGTTAATTAAAGAAGATTTGTTCATAATTAAGCTAGAAAAATACAGTTACTCAGGTAGAAAAAGTACAAAACATATATAATCCATTCACATTATCTGCAGTGATAACATAGGGACATGTTCTATGCCTAAAGCAGCTAACATTATACCTGCATACTGATTTTCAAAGTCAGTTGTGTGCATATGTTTGCAAATATCTTACATGTTCCTTCCCAGACAGAAGGCCAGGAAGTATTCCCTAGATGTAAAATCATAAATCATGTGCTTAAACATAGTCAAGCAGGTGACTGACTGACTGACTGGTTTTGTATAGAAAATACATGGCAAGGTAAAAACATCTGCACATTCCTCAGCTTGAAAATCCAGACCTATTGCTTTTTGGCTGACAAAACTTGTGTTTTCAGACTTGCAGCC